AAGTCATCATGAATTTCATCGATTCGGAAGGGTCCGTGCCACAGGTGAACTAACTTGCGGCTCAATCCTGTGCGGACTCTGGAATGTACAACCATACAGAATCACCGGCTTCGAAACCTGCCCTCACGCGATCTGAGAGTTCTCTCCACTTACGAGTCTGTGCAGCAGATCTCGCACGCTTTGCCTTCTTTTGCAAGTCTTTAGCACACGCGAGAGCATAGCTATAGTCCCGTTGCATCCCACTCCAAGGCCGTTCGTTCATGGACTGTGGATGGCTTCGGGCCCAGCATTGCGGATATGGTTACCTTGGCATCCCACCCGTGAACCAGGTAAAACGGAGTGTCCAACCTTGCAGCGACGAATGAGGTATTCAGGGCAAACATGATACGTTCTGCATACTCGTCCCAGTCGCTCTGGTCAACTTCAGCGACGTACGCTCTGACACTTCGCATTACCGTTTGGGCTGAGCGTTCTTGCTGCCCGTTGGCCTGAGGTCGATATCCTAACGTCGCACGCTGCTTACGTTTCAACATGTCTCTGAATCTAGCAAGGACCTTGCTCATGAAACGGGGGTCCTGATCATGCCTGATCATTAAACTCGCCCCAAATCTTCTGAATACACACTCTTCGTACGCCTCAGCGACATCTTGGGCTTCGGTATTCCGCATAGGTTTGCACATGACATATCCTGAAAATTGATCCTGGAACAGAAACAAGTAGGTATTGCCACGGTCGGACTCAGGTAGCTCCGTGACGAAATCCATAGAGACCACCTCGAACGGATATTTTGGTTCGATATTGCCCGGTGATGGGCCGAGAACCGGTGGTCGCCCCTTGGCTGACGCACAATCTACGCAATCTCTCACGAACTTCTGTACATCAGCGTACATCCCGATCCAGTAGAACTCTGAACGTAATCGCTCAAACGTCCTGTTGATTCCTTGATGGCCGCCTCCGAAGTCTTCGTGCGAGTAGTGTAACATGTCGGCACGTAAAGTGTCTGGGACTACCAGCCTGAGTTCCGACTGTTTGTTACGAGGTCTCTCGGGAGTGGGCGTGCTCAGCCTGTAGAGGACATCTCGCAAATCTAACACAAACTGATCAGAGATCTTTGCAACCTTCTTTACCTCTTTACCTGGTTCCGTGGAAGATCTGGCACGTCCCCTTTTAGGACCTTCTTCATTTGCTGGATCTCCTAGTCCCCGTCTTGATGAACCTTGATTCTCCTCCAACGCTCATCCTGATATCCTGACAGGTCTACAGGAGTTCGAGAACCTACGCCCGGCTCCGTTCGTGACCTCGTCATCACTAGCAATGCTTCAGCAGCGGTAGCTAAGGACTCAGGTATTTCGGCTTTAGAGTTACACGTCCCCAATTCGACTTGGTCCGAGCGAACCGCATCAGTCACAGGGGTACTTAGGACTTCCGAAGGCTTCATGATCTTTTCAGTGATCCTGGATACGAGGCGTAGGTGCACGATCTCATCGGGATCGTCGAGATCCCAGGATTCTCCGAGCACGAGAGTCTTAGAGGTCAGGTAGTCGGCCGCTTGGTTAAACTCACGTTTAACATGAATCAATTTAACTGACACAAAATCCTTCCTGAGATCTTCATAAAGCGTCGTTGCAGGTTGGGCTGGTTGCAATTGATCAGACCCTGAGCATGTTGGACGAGAATCCTGGAATCTCCGACTGCCACAAGCTCCTCGACATCGTACTTCAGTGCGAGCTTTAGTCGCAGAATCAGGCCATGATATTCAGCATCATTGACTGTCACGCCTTCGAGGATGTGTCCTTCAGCTTTCACGACCTGCCATCCTGGCAGCTCCCACAGTATACATCCACAACTTCTTCGGCGAATAGAAACCTTCGCCGCGCCATCAAAACTCAGCACGTAACCTTCGTAGTCTGCGTCCAACATTTCCAGACTAACTGGTGGCATCACGTTCAGACGCCCCTTGGCAGGAATCAGGGTTTCTGCAACTTCATCTAGATGTTCTCTGGGAGTAATACCATACCCAAGGATGGCTGCAAGGCCGTCCTCATCTTTCTGAGTCCGGTGGATTTCCAGTGTCCATCTTGATAGTTCCAGCCCCCACTTCAGATGTCGTCCATTTGCGGTGTTGGATTGTAGTAGCCACTTTAGTACAGAGTAGCGCGTATACACCACAAC